GGGAAACGCTAATATCCTAAAATTGAGCAGTGATGGCTCAGGGGATAGAACGTTCGCCTTCCAATGACGTGAACCGGGTTCGAATCCCAGAGGTGGCTGGTCGATACGTATTCCGCTTCCGGCTTGCACCAACTACAGTTCTGACGTAAAATATTCTCAGTGGTAGATAGATCATGGGTTAGAGTTCTCTTGCAGTCAGGCTATCCATGGGAGGCTTTCATGGTTTTACTCTTCAGATAAAGTAAATGCGGGCTAGTTCCAATAAAAAGTTCTCCACAAAGGCAAATTTCTCCCAATACTTGATACGGGAGTTCCCTTGTCTTCTAGATTAGGTTCAAAATTACAATGATACGGTAATAAACATTAGTAGTCGTGGACCCAAAAATTAGATAGGCTGTTCAACGACGGTTATAAAATAAAATAAAAATTGTCTTCGTTAATAACAATTTTCAATACAAAATGGGTTAATGTGGCAATTTCTTCCATAGCAACAATATCATTGAAACAGCATATTATGGCAATCATACCAATTTTCAATTAAAGATTGTACAATTCTTTTATCCGATGACTCATTATGTAAATTAAATCTTAAATGCTTGCTTTACATATTTGACAGATTTAAATTTACGTATTGAATATCACTCCTTTTTTCTTCGTGAATAAGAAGCTGGCTTCTCTTATTCGTGGAACGATAATTTTGATTTTAGTTTTCATATCAGCTAAAACTGAATCACCCATTTTCACGAAAAACGATAGTGGAGATAAACGCGGAGAAAAAGGTGGTGATAATTGTATAACTGATATCAGCACTTCTCTGATTCCTGAAAACACACTATGGCTGATGGAATTATTCAAAATCCAAATATTAGGAGTGCTGATGAGCCACTAAAGGCTTTATAAGTTCGATCCCATGATGCATTGGGGTCAAGATTTGATGGAGTTTTGATCATTTTAGAACGTTCGTAACCATTCTTTGCTTAGTTGTTTATATTTTACGAACCGCATAATAAAATATGCAGACTAAAAACAAGTATAGTTAATTATTATTATAAATATTATTTAAATTACTCTGTAATAATTAAAATTAATAATTAATTCTTCATTTTTTTACAGTCTAAGAAGACATTTGTATATAGGATTGTTGATGATTTGTATTGTTATTATTTATTCTTATCTATTCTTATTTATTCTTATCTATTCCTATTTATTCATATATATCCTGAGTTGCACTGTGCGCCCAAAATTTTTTGTACATAATAAAACCCTTTCGGCCAATTGATTTTGTTTTTCTTAGAAGTTGTTGTGATTTTAATTTTTACTACTTTTTTAATGGTTTATCAATAAAAGTAATTCATATTTCTTCCTCAAAGAGGGTTCGTACAATGTGTCTGGAAAAAATTAAAAAGTGGCAGTAATACTCATATACTTTTTTTTATTGTGTTTGCAGCTACCAGAATATTTTATTTTCTCTAAGTAAATATATATAGATCCAAAGGTGGCGGAACTGCAATTTTGATTCGACAGTCAAAGCTAATATTAAGACATTTTTAGCTTTTTATAACAAAATTGATACCAGTTATTTATTTTTTGCAGGTCAGTACGAACCCTTTCAAATAGTATAGCTTTCGCAAATCCTAAAATAGATAGAAATGAAATTTTGGCTTAAAATACGAATGTAGTTTTATACTAATTTTCATAACTCAGTAACTATATTTGTAATAATACATGTGTTACAGAAATACACACATTTTGAAGAAGAGGATAATGTAATTTTTACTGTGAATGACAGAAATTGGTGGTTGTTGACTTACACCGGTGAATTTTGACAATCACATAGTCACTTTGGTTAATGTCCGAAATATATACTAGCTCTAGTTATGTGCCACTGCCCGGTATATCCTACACTGATGTTTATTTTAAGATTTAGTGCCACTGCTTGGTACTCCGAACACTGGTGTTTCCCTTAATCTATCCTCAGCAAATATTAAAATATCGAAAAAATATAATAATATCAACGAATAAATTAATATCAAATCGGATAAATATTTCGCACATCACCAAAACGACTATGTGAGTGTTGACATTCATTCACCGGTGAAAGTCGACATTCTCTTCATTTCGGTCATTGAAGGCAACATATATATGTATATAT